CTACTACTACTACTACTACCTACCTACCTACCTACCTACCTACCCTACCCCTACCCGTACCTCCTACCCGTACCCTACCCTACCTACCTACCCTACCTACCTACCTACCTACTCCTCTCTCTCTCTCTCTCTCTCTCTCTCTCTCTCTCTCTCTCTCTCTCTCTCTCTCTCTCTCTCGAACCTCACAAGTAGTTTAAATGTGGCATTTCAAATTTCATTTGGATGATGCGGTCATTAAAAAAACAAAGATAAATATTACAATTTGGACAATAAAAAAGCTATGAAGGGGGGTTAAACATCCTTTTCTTTTAACTTAGAGGCGTTCTATGGGCTTCCCATGGAGCCCACAGAACTGAGGGTTTATTTGAGATAACAATTATAGAGAGACAGACTGGGTCAAGTCTTGTTGAGACTCGGTTGAGTTGGACCTGCTAGCGCAGGCTTTAGCTTTTTCGAGTTTCAGCCAGAGTCCCAAGTTTGTAAACACTGATATATGTGTTTGCATGCGCCTATTAATTCAAGCATCTAAAAATCCAGATATGCTTTCAAACTTTGAAGACAAACTCAAGATAATAATGTGAACAGCCCCCAGACCTGATCTCATCTAGGATTAAAACTGACCCATGCTTACCTTATAATGATACGACGTAGCATACATGCATGTTATGTGATTGGTGATGGATGGAAGTGGATAGAAGCAAGTATTTCTCGTCTCTCTTCTTTGGTTATTGGTTTGCATTATAGCTATAAACAAGTCGGCTAGTCCCATTGGTGGATGGTGGACCCAAACCCAGATCCTCTTGATGTCTGAAGGATCTCTCTGTCTCTACTGTGCTGAAGGAATTTAGGTTTTTCTTTTTTTCTTTTTGAGGGGTGTTTGTGTCTTTTGTTGTTTTAGAGATTTTAGGGGTACTTTTGTCATGGCTAATGTTTAGCAAGATGCATGGGGTTAAGATTTTATACTGATTAGGATTCTAGAAGACTCAAATTATTTTCTTAAAGATATATGTATTGTGCTTTATATATTCAGAGATAAGAACTGATTTTTGGCAAAAAGACCTATCCCTTTTCTCTATAACTTATGGTCTAGGATCTATGAAAATCCCCATGAGCACCCTTTAATTTCAAGAAAAAGGATGGTTATCCCACCCTGCCCTCCACTCCTCCCCCCCCCCCCTTCCTTTTCTTCCCTTTCTTTTCTTTTTTCTCGTTCTTTTTGAAAGGATATAGTACTAAAATTGCCTTCTTATACTTTATAAATCCCAACCTTGTCCAACTGTGAGATTTCCCTCTCCCACCTTTCTGTTTTTTCTCTCTCTATACCTCCCTCAACAAGCGCTGTCACACTATCTCTGCCCAAAATCAAACCAAGTCCTCTCAAACGGAATATAAACTATGGATGATCTATCGAGAGAGAGCAAATGAAAGAGAGAAACAGACACTAAGAGAGAAAAAAGAAAGATAGAAAGAGAGTTCTTGTGAGAGAAACTTGAATGGGTCTTCAAGACACTGATTACTAAACCACAATCAGAGCCACGCGTGGGTAACAATCATTAGTGCATGCCCTACTAGCCTTGCAACCTTTGCATATCTCATAATACGTCATGTCCCCTCCATTATTCTTGAAAAATTAGATTGCATTGCCTCTCTATGGCAATTTAGAGCATACAACAGGTTAAACTAATTAGATTGCATTGCCTCTCTATTAGGACTCAGCAGGTCGGTCACCCTGGAGACCCAACAGGATAACCCACTGGGTCCAGGACCCAGGATTGAACACAACTTGCTTAGTCCATTCTTTGGGTCTAGCCCAGTTTGGCTATGGCCGAACCAACCCATTGTACAACCCTGGTAGGCATCTTTTCTTCGCAATCCCTTTTTACGCTTCATTTACATGGCTATAAAAATCATTTGACGGTATTTAGTGCAATGATGTATTTGGCTGGCACCCCTTATGTTACATCCACACTTCAGTTCGTTGATGATACACTATGATGCCTCAGTAAAATTTAAACCTTGAAATTCACACGCGTGCTTGCATATTTGTGCACATAATTCACTAATAGCTGGTGTATCAATTGATTCAATTCTTTTCCATTTTGTAGCTTTGAAATTTTCGCATTAAAGTCAGAATGTTGGGAATCCCACTAGATCCCTTTTGAGTCATACATTCAAAGCCTGTTTAAATACCAGCTGATGCTATCACGAGTTAGTTACTTTATCTAGAATTAGCATATTGTATATAAATAAACTTTGTTGTTTGGCAACTACCGTATACCTGCCAACTTGGCCCAAACCAAATGAACCCCAAATACTAAATACTAACAACCTTTGGCCCTTCCTTCAATGCTTGAAATTTAGTTCTGTTTGTCAAGACTTGAGACAGAGGCACATGGAGAATCTATGATGCTCCCAGCCTTCAATCATCTTCCCACATCTCTAGCACTGAATTCACCGCCAAAAAGTAGAGAGAGAACCCAAAACTCGAAGACTTCCTTGGTACCATTGCTCAACCCCCACATTTTGCTCTTATCTAATATCACTACAGCCACCTCCAACTATCAAATTTCGAACATAATCACCCATCAATGGCCAGATCAATGTAAACATTCCAAGTTTTCCCCTTATCAACAGATTTTCTAGAAGAGAGAGCAAGCGAGGACCCCAAATGCTTTCTTTCTATTGATTGTGTTGAAAATACGTGAGGAAGCTTTATTTGTTGATGGGCAAAAATGATGTCATGCAGAGAGACAAACAAATTCACGTGTAAAGAGAACTTTCATTTGGAGAAATTTTTGGCCTCAGTGGGCTGTTCAAACAGTTTCTCTCTACAACTTGTTTCTACCTACAAATTTTCTCTCTCTAATTAGGCACGGTGGCCCTCCTTTCTCTCTCAATGGCATGGTGGTGTTTCTCTCACTCTAACTCTCAATGCTTGTGCTCTATGGCATCTTTCTCTCACTAACCCATTATAGCTTTCTAATCATGGGCTCTAAATCTACCTCATGTCTCACCACATCCTCTCAAAAGTATAGACCTTTGACTCTATCCTAGTCCCAGTAGAAATCAGGTAGACCCTCATGGATGTTCCCTAACCCTAATGGGACTCAACCTCCATGTTGCACACCTACTAGAACTCCAAATGACAAAGATCTCTTACTAATTGGATGACTCGTTTACTCCCAAACCTTATCCCATACTACTTACTAATCTAATAGGTTACTTCTAGCACCCCCCTTCATTGCCAAGTCCAACATTCATAGTGCTCCCCTCAAGATTTTAATCCCTTAGTGCTTTAATGTTTTGGTGAGTACACTAGGAACTTGTGTAGGGTATACTCTAGATCAACTTTCTCGATCAAGACTTTCTCATGAATACTTAATA